ATTAAAAGTAGCATTCTGAGAGGAAAAACACACCTCTAGTTTGCTTCTCCTTTATTTTAAAAAAGCACACAGCACCTTTTAAATAAAAAGCATTTGCGATGATGAATTTGAAGCAGATGCTAAAACAATTTGGCTTAAGAGCCTGCAGTTCATACTCCTGAGACCAAGTGATGAATCTCATTTAAGGACAGGTTCTTCTGTGCAGAAAACTAGATTTACACATGTAATTAGGAGCTGCTTTGCCACCATTAATCTCATGTATGAAGGGAGATGTCCATATGGGCTCTGTCTGCCATTTTTAGCCCTTAAGGTAAAGACCAATATGGGACATTTTCCCCATCATGGCAAGTGGCAAAGGTGGTATCACCTTCAGGCAAAACCATTCCCAAGGTTTCTGAGAAACACCCAAGCCTGTCCCCATTTAATTTAAGGAGGTGAAAGGGAAGTGCTCCCTTACTCTCCCCACATTTACCCAAACCAATCCACCAGAGGATGCAGCCTCCAAAAGAAAAGGCAACCAACAAGAGCAATCAACAACTGAAATAAAAAAAATACTAAATAAATTAACAAAATCAATTTAATAAATTAAATATTAAAGGAAACTAAGTACTAAATACATGCAACTGGAAACTAAAAAACTTTCTTTTAAAATTTTATTTAAAAAATAATAAATAAATAAAAAAGGGAGCACATACTTTACATGAAACATTTACTTGGTTCTAAACAATACTTTCTCAAGTCAAATAATCTCCAGTTAGAAAAAATAAAATAGTTTTGTTGGAAAGATGACAGGATGCTGCCAAAACATTTTATCTCATTTTCTTCTGAGAAAGCACTTTTCAGAAAGGGAGGTCATTTTTTCTAGCTTCCTATCTTAAAAAAGTGCTGTGTGCTGAGCAAGTGCTGCTCTCTTGAAGTATCTCTGACAGGATGCATCATGGCACTTTCTACAGCTGTGAGTGACTGCAGCAGTTGTACCAGGACAAATGCACATATCTGTACACAAAATGCACTCACAAACGGAGCAGGAACAAAGCAGTTCCCTGGGTGTTTGAAGATCCATCTTGCCCAGAAGCGTAAAGCCCGGTTTGTGCGCGGCAGCGTAGCAATCCCTTAAGACGAGAAATGGATACAGCCCAAACCACAAAAACCACCTTTTATGTGTTAAGTGTTGCTAATTGAAGCAATTTGCCATGCTTCATTTACGTCAAAGAAACTTCTGGCATGTTGTTTCAAAGTCCTTGTAAAAGGACTGTTCCTTCCCCCGGGCTGGATCAGTTCTCCACGCCACAATTCCTGTTTTAAAGATCACTAAGTTGGATGTAGAAAGATGTTTATACTCAAGAAATATATCCTCCCCTTTTTGTTTTTAGCTTCCAACTTTTTGGGGAGGCAGATTTGCTGCCACCTTTGTGTATGTCACAGTCTGCAGTTAGATGCTGGCTGGTGAAGATGTGCACATGGATGAGTGATAGCCAGTGTTTTGCTTTCTCCTTCCTCCCCACAAAACATTCACAGACTTAAATATTTCCTCTGTCACACTCACAGGTACCCCAACATAGTTTCTTCAGAGTAACATGATTTTGTCCCCCCCGAGGGTCAAGGAGTTGAAGTCTGTTCATGTGGTGTCAACAATAAAAATGACTTTATCATTTCCTACTGGTGCTCTACAAATTTTGCTGTAAAATTTGTTTTGTTTTGCAACAAAATAGTAACTTGGCTTTTGATCCATCTAGAAATGTAACTAGACTATTCAGAAACAAGCTTAAAAATAAAGCAATTACTGAGTATTTTGATAGCTCAAGATTGTTCAAACCTCACAAATGCAAGCCCAAGAAGCAAGAGGTATCTTTTCAGCTTTGCTGGTTTGGGCAACAACACCCTGAGCTTCTCTTTGCTCTTCAAAAGCAAACTACATTTGGGCCAGGAGTTCTGCAACTGCTGTCCTCCTATGAACACCCACCTTTCAATTAACAGCTAATTAGACTAAAAAATTTTCATTTTTAGATAAAGACCACTGCCAGGGAATTACTCCAGCATGGCACAATTGTGGTAAAAACACAAATGATAAGCACTTGCATCTACATCTGTATTAAGTGGCAGTTTCGGAGAAGGCCTAGGGACTGGATGATCCTTGCCAGGTTTCCCAAGCCTTCCAAGAGGAGATCTCATTAATTAAGTTTAGGATCCATCCCCAGCAATTACCAGGATCCTCAGTAGTAAGGATTTCAAACATCATTTTCTATGCGCATTAAACTTGTCCCAAAATAAATAAATAAATTCATAAATAGTAAAAATCCCCAAAAGAGCAATCAGTATGTACTGATTCCATGAGCTTATATTTAAAACAAAATGGGCTTCACACATTTCCATAGGGGTCACTGCTGGGCTGAAGGACTGTTCATAAAATGTGCTATTATCCCTGAAAAGAAATTAATTTTGAATTCAATTTTATGTGTCAGTTTGACATAAATAAATTACAAACATCTCAACCCTACTGAGAAGCCACTGAACTGTTTATTTTTATATGAAATCTACAAATATTTTACAACCCTTCTCCTCAATGATCTGAACACATGCCTTTAAAAACAGTGATTAACAGCATATCACTGGCTATGCAAGAATAAGGACATGCACAGAGAGCAGTTTATTATCCCAGGAAACCAAGTTCCCTAGAAACCCCTTTCTATTGTCCACGGTGATGGCATAGCTACCAATAGCCAGACATCAAAATACTTCAGCCCGAGTTCACACACCCACACACAAAAAGGAGATACATTAGTTACTCCAGTTGGCAGTAGCACTATTATTTATTTATTTAATAATAAAAAAATATTAAGTCACAACTTTCTCTTAAAGTAAAACAAACTGAAATCTGTGTCTGAGCTCTTTCTTTAAACACACCAAATAAGCATAGTGAAGGTCAACCTTAGACTGGGGACATGTGTAAACTAAGGTTTATAGTGTCACGTGAAAAGCTGAGTTAGAACACATAAAAGTATCAGTCAACAATCATATTCTCAAGGATCAAGAGGCTGTGAACAAAAGCCCAACCTCCATTATGTTTTCTTCCTGTTGGTTAGAAGGAACAAGAACTAAAAATTTCATCTAAGGAACTGAAGAAGTTGAGCTAGAGGGATGAGAAAGCCTTGGATTTCTTTTACAGACTATTCAATAAAACAGAAGTGAGGAACATTGATCAGACAAATGCACAACTGGAGTACTCTGATAGAATAGTTTTTGGCAATTCAGTTACCTGAGAAAAGGTGATACCAGTATTGCAGAAATCTTTTTAAGTTTTCAAATGACATCAAAATTATTTAGTACACTTGAAATATATGATCCCAGTGAGTAGCCAGAGATCTAGGGATACACATTTATGTATTGAAAGTGATCAAAATGAGCAGGAAGATACCTGGAACAATCAAAGGCACTTTTAGCTGGGACGTGTTTTGATATATGCTACAGAAAACTGTGTCGGGTATGACATTATACTGAATTGTGTAGAGGTCCAAGCAGTATTAACACACTGTTAAATACAAACACTTGACCAAATAGTCAATGAGCAAGGCCAGCATAGTTAACACAGGAAGAAATCCACATTTTTACTTAATGTAAACAGGAAGGTTTCTAATAAAGGCATTTTAATTTTAAATATTATATGTTTAGCATCATTGCATGCAACACTTATCTAAAAGCTTCATGTCACCTCTGTGTATCACCAGGCCAGAAACAGTCATGGTAAGGTTTTTGGAGAGAAATTCTCCCGTTGTTGAGTCTAGTGCTGCACACAAAATTACAAACACCCTCAGCAAACTGCACACCTGGACAAGGCAGATGTTTGTATATAAAAGGCAACTTCATTGCCACAAAGGAATCTGGCCCTCGTGTTGCCAAAGGCACAGAAACTGAGTGGCATGCTAACTACAGCACTTAAAATGAGACCTGATTTCAAGAGATACCTTTCAGGGGCAGCTAGACAACTGAAGTGTAAGTTCTGCCAAAAGTCAAAAACTGTCCCCACCATCATAACATGGTTGCTAAATAAATTCAGACTGATACAACAACAACAAACAAAAAATTAAAACATCTAGGCTTTTCTTGTGGATTCATTCTTTGCATTTCAGAGACACCAGGTGCTGTAAACAATCTTCTTTACCCTGTATTTTAAACCTTAGTAACAGGTGAAGTGAAAAGCACTGGTAAACAGCTGAATGACCACGTCATTATTTCTTTATTGAATCCTTACTCTCACTTCAACCAAAAGTGCAAGGTATTAGTAAAATGTGAATGTCACAGGCACCTGAACAGAACCACAAACTGGTTTAGACTTTTGAAATTATTTTTGTCAAAGAGCAAATAAAATAGTCTTTGGTGTAAGCTCACATGGTGGAATCCACGTATAACAACATCAGCTGAAACTTAGAAAGCCCATAATTTATTTTCTGAAAGAGAAGAGCCCAAGCTCAAGTGATCACACTGATTTACAGACACAGAGCTCTTCCAGGCAGCATACATGGTCTTTCATTACACTCACACAGCCACTGGCATGTTAAATCTGATGGATTTTCAAGCTGCAAGTGATGGAAAGGACGGTGCCCCCACCTTTGGTCAGATATTGGCAGATCACCTGGATGTGTGCAACCTGGAGCTGCCCTGAGATAGTGATGCAGTCTGCATCTGCTAGGAGTCACCAACCAACACTCAGACAAATAATGGCTTGTGAGAGGAGGAAATACAGGACAGAACACTCTCCCCACTGCCAGTGGCCAGTTTTAAGCTGGTGGTTAGGAATTAACTTTCCTGATGCCCATATAATAAAAAGCAGAAGCACACCTTTGGCACCTGTTTCACAATCAGTCCTGGAGAGTCCTGACTGGTATTGAGTTTGCTAGGTGTTCACTTTAAAACTGAAAGCTATCCACAGCTGAAATTAAAAAAAAAAAAAAAAAAGGACAAAAAACAACTGAAAACACACACATGAAACAAAACAAGATAAAAACGTAGTTAAAAATAACACTCCTCTTCAGTATGTTTTTCTCCTAGGCCACTGTCCTTACACCTGTGTTTCCACAGGAAACTGCTATACCTGGCATAAAATTACTCCACTAAACCATCCCGCTCCTTATTTTCCAGCAAGGGCACGCTTGTATCTCCCTTATCCTTTTTATTTGCATCTCCATTGTCCTCTGACTGCCCTGACTTCTGATGGGCAAACGTGTAAGTGTCTTGGTCTGTGTCTGCCAGGGGCAGAGGTTCCTCCTCGGTGTTAGAAGAGCGTTTAATGTCTTTTCTGAAGGAGAATGGAGGAGGAGAAGGTGGCAAGCTACCAACGGGTCCATCAAAAGGCCGGTAGACATCGACTTCTGGAGAGACTGAGCCATTTGACTCCTTTAGCAAGTGTCCATAGACCACAGCATCATCAATAACTGCATAGACATGAGACTCATTGTTTTGCCTCCCTTTTCCGAACAAGCCCTTTTTTCCAGGCATCTGGGTATTCACGTTATCATTGTACACTCCCACCATGGGATTCTGGGCTTTCTTCTTCCTGTTACAGAGGTGACATTGTTAACAGGTCAAAAACAACACGTCTGGCATGTTGGAACTCAGTAACAACAGCTTTCGTTCCCTCATCCCAATCACACAGTGTCAGGCAGCCTACCTGGATTAAAAACTTTTTGCAATTTTGGGAGAAATAATTATTGAGCCTAGACATTCTTTTTTTAACAGAGCAGAAAACAACTTTATGCTACTTGGTTACCCACTGCTGCTCTGCTGACCCTGCAAGATTAACTCCAATGGTCTCCCAAGCACTGGGGCTCTGGCTGTGCACTTGTACCAAGCCCCACAACATCCACTGGCATTAGTAAGACACAGAGACCATTAGGTCCTCACAAAAACAAGGCTGTGTTACTGAAGACAAGATAGTGGGTCAAAATGAAAGTCAAATGAATTTTTTCTTAATTATGCTTTCCTGACTGACTGCCCCTAAATTGGAAAAACAAAGGCTGAACTGAAAACTTTTAAGCCTGTAGTCTTTCCTGTGTGGCAGGAAAATGTGCTCCTAACTGCACTAGTCACCATATTGCATAAATTAATTCCAGCTCTACAGCTTCAGGACCCAACCACCCTGACAGCACTGAGCATACATGTATCAGAAAGCCCAAGCTATCAATGACTTCAGACTCTGCTCGTGTGAGTAATGCCATGCAGGTAAGCTTTGCACAACCCACTTCTCTCCCCAAGAGCTCATCTCACAGAAAGTTGCTCCCACTTGATGTGCAAACTCCAGGAGTTGCTGGAGGCTGTGTGGATGAAAGAAAACTCTTAGTGCATCTGCATGAGTTCACAGCTTGTTTGAACAAAGACTTGAGTGGAGTCATGCGTACAACAGCCACATTCATTGGGATTTCACGTTGCAGGGACTGCTGCGGAGGTCCAACCAACACTCACACTACACCCGAAAGCCTGCACTTAAGGCCAAGGTAAGTAGTGCTCTGCAGGTTGAAGTAATGTGACTCCAGGAATGCTGCTCTGCTCTTGAAGTTAGTCAATTTAGAGTAAGGAAGCATTCCTGGGGTCAACACTACTTCCACTGTGCCATCCTCATGCTTTAGACCCTGGTTCAAAGGATATCAACACATGAAAGAGAGGGCCCAGCAGCTCTCCCAAAATGCCCTCTTTGAACTGCAGAGTTATACATGCTGAATTATGAACTTACTTCTTCTTAACACAGCAGACGGTCAGTCCAATCACTGTGAGAACTCCAGCCCCAGCCACCACAGCAAGTATGATTCCGAGGTCTGCAAACAGGAACAAGGACATTGAGCAAAAGAAGGAACACCCAGCTTTATCATAAAATCTATCTGGGTTTGAACCCCTTTAAGAGCTTCTAAGCATAGCAGCTGCTGGCAGAGCAGGAGTTCCTACACCATGCTTGCCACAGGGCAACACAAGCCATTCCCCAGAGACTGGAGGCCAAGCAACAACAAACTCCTGCTGTTGGCAGTGGAGGACAACCAAAAAACCCAACCAACCCACCCACCTCCAAGAGTTTTTGATACAGCTCATGCACTGCTAAACTTACCTACAGCACCTCACACGCCTCTGGCTGAATAGGCAAGGAAGAGATGAAAGCACAGAAAGAAGCAGAGAAGGATTCAAAAGAAGAAATAGCAGTATTTCCACAGATTCCCCTCAAAACCCTCCTTTCCTCTGAAATACACAGGTTGTGTTGACCTGGGGTTTTCTAGGAGTCATGAAATTGATTAGGGAAGTCCATGCATGAGCAAAGAAAAATGCTGCAAGTTTCAAAAGCAGCAGAGATTGAAAAAAAAAAACAAGATCAAAAAATTAGAAAGAGCAAATGTGAAGCCAATTTACATAAGTAAAGCCTACCCTAAAAATGCCGCCTCATCTTTTTTTAAAAAACAGTTTATGTTTCAGGGAGATGAAAGAGAACAAAAAAACAGAATTTGCTGCTAGCAGTCAGGGCCCAATCTCCATTAAATGGTCAGACCTGTCCTAGGGAGCATTTCTTGTTCATGTGAACACTGAGACTAATTGAACTGCTAACATGAAGTGAGGACTGCTTGGATGAATAAGTTTGCATAATCAAATCCCAAGTTGTTCACTAGGTCTGTGACCCTGGAAGGGAAAAAAATCACTTCATCTTATTATATATTCTGTCTGTTATGTCCAATTAAAAAAGCTAAATTAAATTTTTTTAAATGAAATCTAGTCTTACTACCTTGATCCTTGCCATTTCTCTTGTGTCAATGAAAGAAAACCCAGACATACACCTCCTGCCCCCCAAAAAGCCATACCACATTCAAACCCCTCCTTCCTCCCCAGCTCCTAGAAATACCCAGCTGAAACTCTTGAAGTTTTTGAGGGACAGACTTTTCCAAAGGCAGGAATCTCACAAACTGCCTACATCCAAGGAGGACCATCATCCATTACTGTTACCTCAAGGCAAAGCAAGGAAACAAGCAGAAAACAAACCACCACAACCTTACAGCACTCACCTATCTGCTTGTCAGCCAAAGTCACCCAGAACTGCAGTGTCAGCTGCGTCTTATCCACAGGTCTACAGTTGGAGACGTTCACCCAGAAGTTGTGGAGCATGTTTCGGGGCTGGGGCAGGAGCTCGTCCTCGCGGCGCACGATCTCCTCTGCTCCCAGAGTCTCTTCCTTGATGTTGACGTAGGCGCGGCCCGTCTCACAGGCAATGCCCATGCGGTCCTTGGAGAACCCGAGGCGGGCAGTCTGCTTGCTGGGCACAGCGATCAACCAGGATATGGAAACATAAGGAGGTAAACCGTAAGGCCAGTTGGGAGTCTGCAAGTAAACTTTAGCTTTTGGATCTGGACTCACAGTGAATATGCACTCATCTGTAGCAAAAGGGAAAGAAGAAAAGAAAACTTAGTTTTGATAATTATTGTCTTTTCCTACATCAGTGTTATCACAATAAACACAGACACACCTGCAGAATTTGCCACAATCAACTATCCTCTACCTGGAATACAAAGCTCCTTCTCTCTTCCCAAAATAAACCACATCACTGGTTCAGATAAAGACTGACTCTAGAGTCTAGTCCTAGAGCCATTGCTAAAGGATTGAACTCCTAATTTCTGTTTATCCATATGTGCTTTAATAAGCCTATTGAGAGATCTATCACTGTACAACAAAGTAGTACAAAATCTACTACCTTACCTTTAATATGTGGCACGAAAGACATTTTCAGATCCTGAGGGATTGACTCATTGATGAATCCTTTCCCAAATGTTTTTAAGGATATGGAGATATTATTCCTCATCTGAATCTTTTCAATAGATCCACCGGGACAGAAGACACCAACATTCAGCTCTGTCTCCGGGGTGGCACTAACAATGCTGTAACTGTAGCTCATGTTGCACCTCTGCTCTGAGACGTGTTGCTGAAGTTTCAAGGACGGAGACATAATTTCTATGTTGATCATATCAGTGGCCAAGAGCTTCCAAATAAACTTATGCAGCCGAATTGGCAATCGGGTAATAGCCTTGGGCACTGAAAGGGAATAGATCTTCTTCTGACACCAACGAATGTCCATACAGCCTGCAAAAACAAACACAAAATCCCAAGGGCTGGGTATTTCTTGCAGAGGAAATACTTGGGCACACACAGAGTACTGTCAGGTTTGCATTACAGACCCAGATAAGCATCTACTTAAGAAAATATCCTCTCTTAGTAACCTTTATCCAAATGTGTATTGTTTGTATTTAAAGAGCTTTCCTTATAGGTGCAGGACACCCAAGAAACAGAAACATGTTTGAAGGCCCTCACTCAAGATATACCTGTGGACTGGGGCACTGCTGCAGACTAATCAAGGTATGGATACTTCAAATCTCTTTTCTACCTGTAGCTGAAAGCATCTGGGGAGATCCTACATCAAAGGGACATGCATGCAGAACAAGATGCACTCCTGATGGCAACCTTAGTCCTGCATTTTTATGGGCAGATTTATGGGTCTCTGGCTCTGTTTCCATAATTTGCAGTGACTTAGGTGACCTCTATCACTTCTCTTCTAGGAATAGCTACGCAGTTTCTGTTCTTAAAGGCAGAATGATGTACTGAACAAGGTCACCTCCAGGTTCATTGTACCCATCTCCCAGCTGGCCAACACCTGGTTTCCAACCTCCATCCATTTAAAGCCAAAGCAAGGGAACAAGTTTGGCTGACCCTTGGGGAAAAACAAGCAGAAGCATTCCCTAAGAAACAGCATTAAGGCACTTTTGTAGTACCTATGACTTTTTCAGCCGTGATCCTCAGCCGGGACAAGTCCTTGCACAGAAAGGAGATCCTGTAGACGGCACCAGAGGTTAAAGTCAAGACGCGGTCGCAGCTGCGAGGATCCTTGCAGATCAGGCATATGGGTTCAGACATGAGGGGGATGTGGCTGAGCCACCCTTCCAAGTGTATTGTCACAGTCATGTTCTTCTCCTTGCTCAGGTCGACCAAATGGGTGACATCTGCAACAAAAAACACCCCAGAGCAACTACAGCCAAGCACAGTGTGAATCAGAACTTCCTTCACCTTTTCTCACCCCATTATAGGAGCAGCTATTACAGCAAATACTTGGAACATCTGGAAGGAGAAAATAGAAGGAAAGAGGAAAAAAAATGCAAGTGCAGCTCATAAAGATTGACTGTCATGTGGAAAGATAGATTTTGGATCCACGCAACATCCTGGTGCTGTTACTAAGGCACCTCTCTCTGATGTTAAAAAAAGCAAGCCAGCCCAGTGGAAGTGTCCCTGCCCATGGCAGGGCAGTTTGGAACTGGATAATCTTTAAGGTTCTTTCCAACCTAAACCATTCAATGATTCTACAAAGGACAGGGGGGGAAATAGTGTACCTATATACACACATATTCTATTACTACTCTTCATTTTCTGGTTTTAGCTTTAGCTACAGATCTCAAAGTCTTTTATTCACACAAAAGATGAATAAAATAGCTTTCTCCTGTGTGGGAAATCAGGCAGACAAAAATGCAAGTGGGCAAATGGAATTATCTAAGTCACTGGCACAACCAAGCACGTAACCTAGGACTCCTACTGCAAGGTTATCATTTTTCAGAATGTTTTTTCCTGCAGCAGCTAAACACAGGAAGAGTTAGATCAAGAAGTTATTGTGACTGGAAAGAGCCATATTTTCTTCTTATTTGATGACAAGAACCACAGACAGCTGTGGAATACCCAAATGTTTGGGAAGCTTTGAGAATATGCAGATAGCAATGAATTTTTAATAAGAGCAATGTTGCAGATGGCAACCTGAGGGCTGAATTTGAATCTTTGATGGAACTTATATAACTACAAAAATCAATCATGAAATCCTATAAAATCCCTAGAGAAACCACTGTTGTCTCTTAAATCCAAATGGTTTATTACTTGCATTTTATTCATGGAATGACAACCTGTTTTTAATTTTTTACGTGATTATCATCTTGTCTACTGGCCATAAATATATTAAAGTTCTTTTTGCTCTCGAAAGAAGAAGGGAGATAAAGCTGATTAACGGAATATAATGTTTTCATTCTGTCTAGCTTCCAAGATGCTCACACAATAAATGCAAGCAAACACAATTTTGTTAACAGCAATTCTGTGAGGATTTGCTGTTCATAAACAGAGCCAGGCTAGACAGACAAAGAACACAGAATTGTAATCGTGAGATGCTACAGATCCTTTCTGGATATGTGACTTTAGGGCACAAGTCATTCAAACCTTATTCTCTCTAAAATTACCTAGACAGCCTCTAAGTAGCTCCTAACACAGTGGCAGTCAAGTGTTGACTTTCTTCCACCTGCTCTTCTGCATTGAGTGCACCTTGATTATTAACCTTCATCTTGAACTGAGGTCAGAGCTGCAAAGTCAGAGGCTAAATCACTAACTCCATGGCTCATTACCTAGACAGGCCTCTTATTTCTGTTTTTAGAGAAACACTCTGGTATTACAAGTCATTGTGCTAAACCAATCTGAATTTAGGGCTAGAAAACAACAAAAAAATGTTTTCTCAATATACAGAAAGAAATGTAAAGAACATCCAAAAATGTAGGGGATATTATTAGTCGAATAGCTTACTGACAACTTTTGTGTTTAATGTGACTCTTCACACTTCTTGATGTTCAACCTCCAATAGGAAGCAAAATTAAAACTCAAAGGAAGAAAGGAAGATGCATATTGATGCCATTAGCAATACAGAGACAATTTTACATCTCTCAATTCACCAGTTAATACCACAGATCTTGCTACCTACCATGACAGTGGATTTCACCTTGTTAGGTGCAACTGCTCACACAGGGAACAAAAAACTGGGTTCATGCTTTAAAGAATGATTTTTAAAATGTTGAGTCTCATGTCTGAAAGCAAAACTGTTAAAGACATTTTTCAATTACATTATTCAGGTGCTGGAAACGGAAAGGAGTCTCCATTTATAAGTTACGGTGTACAAAAATACAGCAGCACTAAATACTCCATTGCAAATTGCACATTTCAGCATAAATGCTCGCCTTGCTGTACGGGTGGCCAGTGGTACCCTGGGCAATGAAACAGGCCACAGCGTTGCTTGGCAATCTCCTTAAATGCATATATGGACCAAAGTTCAAGGAAAATAACAAAACAGAGTATTTATCTCCCTTGAGGTGCTCAGGCCAGACATCTGTAAGTGAAAGCAACAAAAGAGGCAGGCAGGTACTTACTCTCATCAACCTGTGGGTGCTGAACGATGACTTGGAAGAGCAGGCGAAGAATGCCCGGGTTCTGGGCATCCTGATCACAGCCCTGCAGGGACATGTTGAAACTGCCAGCCATATTGGCAGGCTGGCTGTCGCTCAGCCTGAACACCTCCGGGTTGCTGGGGGAGCCGGGGATGTAGTACTCCACCCTCTCCTCCTTCCTTTCGCAGTTGGAGAGGCTGTAGTTGAGGAAGAACACGCTTGCTCTCATGTTGGGAGGAATCACAAACTGCCACGTCATGAGCTCGTCTTCTGGAAAGCCCAGCGGGTAGTTAGGGGACATCAGGGTGATTGAAGACTCCCCCTTCAAAATTGATTCAATGATGCATAACCCTAAAACAGGGAGGGAATCGCAATATATAAAACAAGTTCCAGTTACTGAAGACACACTGGCATACCTAGCACCCAAGAAGCAGAGTCTTTTTATTTTGACAGTGAGATCACCCACTCCACATACAGGTTAGGTTATTACAAAATGCTCAGACTAAAACGTATGTTTGAGTTGATTCTTATGTCTTCAATTACAGAAAAGGTAAGGAATGTATTAATAGTGCATTTGCAGTTTAGCAGGTTAACCTTTCAAGCACATGGACAGACAAGCCTTTATTACTGGCAAAGGCAAGATCCTAATTCCTATTTCTACATTTGGATTTGCAAGAGCAAACACAAAACCCAATAACTGCTTCTGCTTCACTGGGTTTTGGGAAACAAAAGATGCAAGCTTTTATAGCAGCATGTAGCTCCATTTACAAAAATCTCCTAAACTGAACAAAAGCACACCAGCAAAGAGCCTCAAATAGGCATATTAAAACACAAATGTGAACTGTGCAGGCTGCGTAAGACACTTTATCCTTGGATGACTCTTGGCAGTATGAAGTTGAGTACATAGAGATTATGGTCCCACTCTAGGACTCCAGTGATGGTGTGCAAGCGTGAGGAGTGCCAGGAATTACAAAACACTCATGTTCTAGAAGCTTGAAACTGGACCAGGTTTCTAACTGATAGCAACAACACTAGAATTCAAGTATAGAGCTAGATTTGTCATGAGATCACAAAGTAACCCACTGATTGCTGTATAATATTCCAGGTATTTTAGGAAGATTATTACACAACAGTTTATGTTACTGTGCAGGTTCAAACAGACAAATGTATTTATGAGCCCTCCTGTGCCTTCTAGGCACTGCTTCACCTTTTCCCACACTCCTCTCCTGAAGAGAGGTACTGGTTTGAGGCTCCAGAAGAAAGAAACTTTTTTAAAAATAAACAAGCCCAACTACACACTGCAACCAGCGAAAAACTCTCTGGCTCATTTTATACTACCCAGTCTCACCTAGCTGAATGCACAAAAACAAGAAAGCAGGTATGTTTAAGTTTTAGGAAGTTTAAAGAGATTTACAATTATTAATGTACATCAAATGCTTTGACTTCAGAAGAACACCATCTAACTAAACTAACTTCATAGAACAATAGTTTCCAGAAAAGACGAAGTGAAAGGGAGTTAGGGCTAGCAGCACCAAAACTGGAAAGTTAGCTGTGAAGACAGGTTGAAATGGATTCTGCTGCAATCTGCAGGAGGCAGCTGCACTGCTCCGTACTCACGTTTTATGGAAGCCCTGTTGGCTATGTTGAAGCCTGAGGTGGTGAGAGGCAAGTGCCACGGGAGGTGCAGTGACATGACAACTCCTCCCAGCAGCTTGATGCGAGACACGGAGCCATTCCTGCAGAAAGTGCCAATGTTCACCATGGCCTTATCAATACAGCTGTTGATGTTGTAGCTAACGGAGTCTGGGCACGTCTCTCCTGGTTCAATCTGTCTTAGCCAGGAGGTAGAAAATTTTAGCTCAAGTCCAGCTTTTGTACTTGCCTTCACGTCCCAGATGTAAGTCCTGTTAAGGCGAGGTAGCCCCGGTGGGTAAAGATGAACATCTCCAAAGGGACATGGGCCTGACACACAGTCTAAATGCAGAGAGAGAAGAGCTGTGATACACTCTGGAAAGCATTCCATTAAATGGGGAGTTTGATACTTCCCCTTCCTTGCTATTATCACAATTTTTAGGTTGCACTGATCTTTTCCTCTACGTGCACTAAAAGACACTCCTGTAACATGGTCACAGGCTGTCTCCAAACAGGACTCCCAGCCCACAGAACAGACAGGATAAACCTGCTCTAGTCAGGCTGACTAATAGGAGGGATTCATTGTCCCTAGTATTCTGCCTTGTTTGCTGAAGAATTTAGAAGGTATTTAGTGAATAGGGCAGAGTCTGAATGGGCAAAAGGGACAAATGTAGTGTCAAGAGAGCTGGAAATCACAGATCTAGAGAATTCATTTTATCCTGTGTGCCCCAGAGAGTTCCTGGCAAATAATTAATTTTTAAATGTTTAAATGCTTGCCATGAACTGTATGTTTGTTCCCTTGGTGCCTGGATGAACAACAACAACTGCCACTGCAGGATTCTGGAGGGAACCCAGAAAACTTTTATCTGAAAAATCCAAACAATTGATTGACACTCAAAATAAGTAACTTTAATCTGTGTCTAGGCTTTGACTTAAAAGAAGAAATATCACAAGTGTGTCTTGCAAATATATGAGACACAGTGATACTATCTGCATGAATCATATGAATAAAATTCCAAAATATGAAGAGAATTGTTCTTCAACACCACCCCAAAAATAATGAAGATGTTACTAAAGACTGAATACCCAACGAAGTTTGGGATCTAGTTGAGAAGTAGCACGTGTTCATGCCATTAAAGAGTACATATACCAAGGATAACAATCAAAGCAAAAGAAGCTTTAGTTACACTTCTGAATTTACAGTTTCTTGACTTCAATAACATTCATTAAAAATAAAGAAACATGTGCAGGTCTTCAATGTTTCTGTTGTCTGTATAGACAAAACCAAGCTGTTCATCAAATACATTACGTATTGTTGTAAGTGTTCAGAGGCTTTTGTAAGGAGCAAAAAAGATTCTTTGATGGGTTTACAAATTGTGGGAAAAGGAAAAGCAGTAAGGAATTAATGCAGCAAACCACACTCTAGCTGTTTCCAACACAGCCAAGTCACCATTAATTCTGCCAGCTGCAATACAGACTTCTTCAGCTTGCATAGTTGTAGTCATTCAAGGTTATTTACTATCAGTGCTCAAAGATTTCTTCTTACCTAAGATTATGGCAGATACCTTAATACAGCAGCAGGAAAAAAAGCATGTGGTTTTACTGAAGGAAAATTACCACTGGGGAAAAATCAAAAATCTGTATCTTACCAATATTTTTCTGAATTTCTGCGATGAAATACTTCTCGGGAGTACTACAGGTGAAGGTAAAAGTCACATTGTCCCCAGGCTTTATCTTGAGTTCCGACATGAAGACATTTTTCACGCGTATTCGACAGCTTAGTGGAAGAACAGGTTTCAGTTTAATCGTAACTGTGGTGTTGTCCGCTTTATGAAGAGAGATTGTAAAGGAAGCTAAGAAAGAAAAAATACATAGAACAGAGGTGTTTTGTTACTAGCACATATGAGCAACACCAGGCTCTCCACACAGCCCCGCAGATGCCACAGTGTCCAAAGGAATATTTGCATCCACTTCTCAGGAGCCTCTGGTGTTTTACCAATAGAAAATGCCTCCTCTCTTCCAGCACAGACAACATAAAAAGACGCTTGCTGCATGTGCCCAGGAGAAGTATACAGGGAATTTATGCACAATCAGTTCTGCTCCAATTTACCCTCACCAGTGTCATTTATTTCACAATTAAAAAGTAGCTCAGCTATTGCTTTCAAATTGTTGTTCCCCTGATTTTTTTTTTCAGTTTGTTATCACACAGCCTGCTTCATTTCTGAAGGCACCCATCAAGTCACGACTCAATTCAGGAAGTTTATTCAGCAGCCAAACAAAAAAAACAAGCTTCCACTTCAATCACAGACAATGGTAACAGATGAATTTGAGGGTATACCTCAGCAATTAGTGCAGGCCAGATGAGGTATTCCAGCAGTACCAAAAGCACATACCAAGAGATACTTTTAGGTGCAGTCATGGCCCTCTCCCACCATCCCCACCCTTCACAACTCATTCCCTGAAGGTACAGAATGTCTGTGCAGTGCCCCTCACCAGCACAGAAGGCATTTGTGGCCTGGAACAGAGTGTGGGTGTGCTTGGACACTTCCTCTCCATCTCTGACACGACTATCATTGATTCACAGCTTTTGGGAAATACTTCACAGATTTCAACCCATCCTCAAGTACTGCCAGATGCAGGAGCAGCTCTCACAGGAAATACTGGAGCCACTGAATAAACTGCTTGTTGAATAATCTTTATTTTATGGGTAGCAGTTTATCAAAAAATTACTCAAACCTGGCTGTCTTCTAAAAATATACACACAATATAAGACACCAGAGAGTACTGACTGGACAGTCAAGATGACTATTATTAATTCAGTTGGATGCTTAGCATATAATGAGGCCAGCCCTGGCTGAAATAAGTCAGATTTGCAGTAAGGTCAACCATACCCCAGACCCAGGTGAATATCTAAGGACAGGACAGACTGTAAGTTTTCTGCTGCTTGTTTTCATTGTTCTCCATTCCCTATTTTGGAGTATGGAAGACAGAATCTCAGTGTCTACAGTACTTGAGCTTTTAGTGCATATGACAAAAAAATAATGCATATAAAAAAATAGTAAGAGATCTAGAAATAAAGGTACCCCAAGTTTGGTTCAAAAACGTATTTGCCTTGAGTGGCACATCACACAGGGCTGCATGACAAAGCTCTGCCCATATGCCAGGTTGGGAATCCTCTTTCTCATTAACCTCAACGAAAAAAGATTAGTGCTGGCAAACCCAGCAGAGCAGCGCCCTGAGGGAGCCCCTGAAGCCATTCCAATTACCAGGCAGCATGTCAGGAAGGTGTAGGAGAACAGCTGGCTCACACACATCTGCAGGATGCTCCAGGCTCTGTCCAACTGCTCAGCATCCCTGGAGCACCAGTCTGGTCCACACCAGCTGCTGCTGGTGCAGGGGTGATAAGGATGCTGATCAGAGCCCAGACATCAGGGGCTCACCTGGTGGGATTGTGGGGAGCGGGGCTGGACACACCATGGGAACCCTTGATCAGCAGAGCCTTCTAATGGCACACGAGCACACCAGAGACCCTCAACAGACACACCCACCCAGCTCAAAGCTCCAGTCATCGCAGCTGCTGAAAGCAGCTTATTGCATTAGTGACTCAATTTCACACAAAAACCATCTGTTCTATTGAAGAGAGGTTTAAAAACCTCCTAATTTTTACAGAAATCTTATGGTTTTGCAGGGCCTGACTTTCACTGCTTTGCAAAGGCCCCGGGGACCGAGGATCAGCATGGTCCATTCCCTGCCACTGGAAACACTGCGGCTCCAGGTTTGGCAACACCAGGCATCAAAAACCCCACTGCTAGGGAGAGTAGGGCAGAACAGAGTACTCAGAGACAGAGCCCATCATGTGTTTACCTGACTTTTGCTGGTCTTGAGCCTTTTTGCAGCTTTTCCAGCTTTTCTACACAATCTTGGGAGTCAAAAGACTTAGTAAGTATCTTGAAACTTAGTAAGTATCAAGATACTTAGTAAGTATCTTGAAACCTTGAAACTGCCTTACCTATCTGCCTCCAGGATCAAAGGTTTTAAATGAAAATCTCAAACATCACAAGGATTGCCAAATTGCAGCACATATTTTTAACCACAAGTTTACCAACCCCCTAATACCATTAGTGAGAACCTGGTCACTGAGTAACTTTCCTACAGCATTTAAGTGACAGAACAGTTCTCTGACCTGAGAGCCTACACTGCATTCTCCTGCCTCTTCCAATGGCTGGCACGCTTTACATCTGTGTTTGTGCCTTAGAAAAGAGATTTTCAATATGGATTTTCCTGAGGAAATAAAAAAGATGATGGTGTAGCCTGGGAACTGCCTGTACAATGACCTTCCAAGCACACAGGGGACAATTGCAGGGGCAATGTCCATGGGGTGGGGAAGAGAGTAAAGCCAAGCAAGCAGTCAGGGCTGCTCTTCCTCATTCTTCAGGAGGAAGCAGTCTCCAGAAAAGAAAGCGAAACAACTGCTTCCAACCTAGTCCAGAGTTCTATTTTTCATACCACTGGGTTCTTTTTGGGTTCTCTTGGGGTTTTATTTTACTACACCTAGTGCACAAAACATCTTTGACCATGATGTTCATAACATTTCTGATGTTTAGTCATTCAGATATGATGTGTTAATAACATAAACTAAATAATTAATAACTATGGAAAAAAGACATTTCTTTCTTGCACAAGGTAGTTGTCATACTCACCTTGTAAGTTTAAAAGTATTACTGAAAAGTCCGTTTCTAACTCTCTGTTCAAACAGTTATCCCTGTTACTTTCCCCATCCCTGGGACAGCACAGCCACATGGCCAGCCTGGCAGGACAGAGACCAGGACCCACTAACAGCCAGCCCTCCTCCACCACATGCTGGCACATGGCTCTAATTTTTAGTCATGAGGATTAGGTTTAAGCATAGCCTTAAGCACGTGACTAGTTTTAAATCAAAACAAATACACACCCTGAGCCGCAACCAAAGAACAGAAATTTTCAACACTTTGAAATAAGCAAAGGGTCCTACAAGGGTCAAAACAAAGTATCCCCTTCTCCAGCCCCTGAAAGACCCAAATTTAGCTGCCTGGGCTTTTTTCCCCTCCCTTCTGCTCCTCTTGCTGACTTCATGACCATATAATCATTCTTCATTTGATCTCTCTGCAAGAATATCAAATATTTGTCAGGTCAATATCATTTTCCAGCATAGATTTATCCCATTCCTCAGCTTTCCTAAACAGAACCTGCCCAAAATCATAGAAGTGTTTCCAATGATCAATATATATATCATCACAGCAGCAGGCAAAAAGGATGCAGATCTATACCAAATCAGGCCAGCAAAGTTGCCTGCTAGAAGCCCACATAAGAACAAACACCTTCTGTGCATAAACAAACAGCTTGCACAGAAGAAAATCCACAGATAATAATTTTGGCCAAGAAATAAGAGCGTGGTGCTGTAATGCCAACAGCAGCCAGCTGCTAGGGATGTGCTAAACTGCATTAGACTATCAAATCCAATAGGAAAAGCAGAATAAAAGAATCATGCGGGAAGTATAAGCAGTGACCCCAAAGTCATTAAAAATAAGTGAAGAAATGGCTAAAACTCCCCAAACTACAGCCACACATGAGCAGCATGACAGAGGGACTACTTAAAGAGCAGCTTCATTGGAGAGCTTTTATAAACACGAGTGAGTCTCCTCATGAGTCACACTAATCTGTCTTTGTCTGTGACTCCCACTGCATGCCTTTTTATTAGGATTACCAGTAACTGGACACATTTCTTGAAAAGAAGCAATTTCCACGCCTTATTGCTGCTGCACAGGGATGACACACAGGATATCCAAACCAACATGAGGAAGCATTGCCAAGCTGGATCTCGTCTCTTGTCTATACAACAATGGAATTGTTCAGCTAGAAGATGCTAGAGGTAAAGCCTGCAGTCCTGAGCTGGTTCATAGCTGATGCAGACAGCTGATCTCATCCTATTCTTTTTTCCTCTAAGCAATTACATTTTTCCAGCCTCTCTTGGATATTTCATCAACTTCCCTAATCTCAATCTACATCCTCCCCTCCACAACTGGATTTTTCTGCTGCTCATCTTCATTTCAGAATGGGTCTTCATAAGTTTTCTCATCACAGCATCCCTTTATTACTACAGTAATGCCCCTCTTTACACAAACAGCATTTTCTTAACAGGATGATATTTCCAAACTTTTAAGTTAATGCTCAGAGCTCTTCCACTGGGGTTAGAAGCAAACTGCGTAGTGTAAAACAAGTTCAATCACTCCAGAGAGTTGAGCCTAAATTTATTTACTGTGTTTGCATCTGACAAGCTCATAGTAATTTTAACATGTATATATAAATGTCAAAAGAGCATTTTTCCTGTACAAGAGGGAGTGCAATGTAGAAGACAGCTGGCAAATAGTCAGGGCAGTAGCACTCACATGGAGCATATGTACATATATACACGAGCAAAGGACTTGGCAGAACAGCAATTTTTATGGCTTTGTAAAGTGCCTTGCTACACAAAGCAGGAGCTAGAACAGAGTCCAACTAGTTTTGGCTTGACAGCTGCATTTTATTGCAGTCATTTACCCGTAAGGATCCATGGATTGTTCCACACGACTTGACTGGCTGGATTAAAACAATCAAAAAAGACGCAGACCAAGAAGACAAAACCTACAACGAAATCCCAGATGTTAATTTATCCCGGAATTATGTACAAAAACTGTTGGTTTGCCCATTCCGGTTAAATCACGGGCTCATTCCATGACAGCCATTTTTACTGAAACCCAGCTGGATGGGGCTGACTCAGCCACCATTCATGAGCTGGAGGAGCCGAGCTGCTGCGCAAGATGAGTAGCAGCAACTT